ACCAACAGCTACAGATTGTGGAAAAGATCCAACTGAATATCTTGTTTCTCTTGCAAAAGAACCATTCTCATATCCACGAAGAACACTCACATTATTGCTACCATAATTGGCGACAACGATATCTGGTCGAGTGTCGTTGTTGAAATCACCAACAGCTACAGATCGTGGAAAAGATCCAGCTGAATTCCTTGTTTGATGGGTGTGGGTGTGGGTGTGAATGTGAGTAAATAAAAAAAGCCCATCCACACCTACATTCACACCCACACCCACACCCAAATCTTTTTTACCAGCCTGATCAACGCAAGATGCTATACAGAATAGGCAATATTGAATGTTTTTTAATGACCTTCATGTTTTTGTGATTGATATTCGAATATTCATAGAACCATCCATGATGAAAAGGTGAAACCACTAGAAGTAGGTGAAAAATACTTCAGAATATGCACTTTCATGACATTGATTTTACTCGCCACATCCGTTCCTGAAATTGTTGCTTTCGCAAAAATATAGAAAATGCCGCAAAGATCCTTCAACACGCATAAACACAACTTTACACCACTTGTATAATAACTGTCTACTGGTTTTGGAAAGTTGGGAAAAATTTATACGCAAAAAATAGTACAGATGATTGCTGTCAAAGTTTAGTGTATACATGTTAGTCATTCGAATTCGTGTATATATTTGAAATACTGGTTTATGCTAGATTTGCTACCAGCATTGTATTCGTAAGTATTGGTCTAATCTGTACGGGTTTCCACTTGATACATATCATTGCCAAAGCTTCTCGTCGGAATTCAGAAAGAGCAATAAAATAAATCGGAAATTCCATGACATGATAAGTGTAAAGTAATGAATCAAATAAATTTTGAAGAGTTACACTTGTAGTATGAGAGAAAAATCCAAAAATAATTGTAGATGGCATAGTCATGATTGAAAAGATAAATGTCAAAAAAATAAGTGTAAACGAAATGGCTCGATGTTGAATGCGTCTATTTTGAGCTCTTGCCATGTTTTGAATACAGTTCATATGATAGATTGTACCGCTATTGAAAATAGTCATTAATATAAATGGTATACAGTTGTATACAACGAAATGAACAATCTCCATTTTAGGATAAATCTGGTAGAAAGTACCTTGCACGTTGACAGAACCATCACTATTGTAATAACAAGCAAATAGAAAGAAATGAAAATTGAATAGAGTAAAAAAGGCCACGACGGATCCAATAATAATAAGGACACTTTTGGAATGACTGAACCAGGTTCGATGAAAATGGCTTGATGCTAAATATCGATCGAGAGTGATGAATACGCGAAGCCAAGCTGATACCTGCGATGCAAAATGGTTGAGAAATGAAAAAAACTTGCATAAGGATACTGAATAAGATTGAAGGCTAAACCCATGTATAGTTGAAAGATAATGATCAAGATTCCAACCATATAACATAAGAATATCAATGATGGCAATGGCACGCATATAATGAAGTGTTGGTCGTCTGTTCGTGTCACGAAACGTTGATCGACAGAAAACGGCAAATGTAAGAAGATTGATTATGGTACCCACAATGACAAGTGTCAAAGGATAATAAGCACTGAACAAGTTGAATACGGATAGAACACCGTCGACTGTCGTATTGCTACTAGTCTTTAACATGATGTGATGCATTAATGATGTTGTTTTTTTGCTGTTTCATAGAATAGAACTTTCTAAGCTATTTTCTCTTCCCATCAAGAAAATGTTGCTTACATGAAAGCTTGTAAAGGATAATATTCACGCAACCATTCAAACGACTCTTCTTTATTCTGATTCATATTGGACTGAAGACTTTATTAAATGGCATTTTTTTAATGAGGATAAAAAGACACAAATAGAATCATTTTCTATAACTTTCATGTTGGAAGACGCTGAAATGATCTCGAAAAAAATAAGGGAATTGATCTCAACGTGCTAAATTAGTCTGAAAAATGATGAAATTGGGCTCGTTTTTTTTCCGAGCACATATTGTAAGGAAATGAACTCGGAAAAAAACTCATTAACGTTGAATCAGCAAAATTAGAGGAAAAGATCTCGGTTGGATATTCTAAAGAGAAAACGGAAATATGATGTCCTAGTTTATGTTTTTACTAATAAACAGAGTACACTATGGTAACGGAAGACAATAATTTTATATTTATTAATATCTATTGACCAATCGCTCAACATCCTGCGATTTGTAGAAATGGACCATGTTGTAATTTATTTCTCATGGTATACTACTCTTTTATACGGCCGTTCAAGCTTTCTAATCCATTGTTGGTTGAAGGATTAAACCGAGAGACCACCTCATACCAGTAAGGCAAATGAGATAACCGTTGGTGTTCAAAATATTGTGTAAATTCATGGAGGTCTTCATCAAGTGACCATTTTTGTAGGATTAATTTTGCACCAATGAAAAAAAACTTGATCATTAAATGCTAACTGTAAGTTGGTGAAGTTTTGCTCTACCATTAGGTATATACTGGATTACACAGAATTAAAAAAAGACTTTGTAAACTATGCTTCTCTATCATTCGCCCATCAACATACATCATGTCATCAGATGAATCATTTTAATTCTTCTGTTTATCCTTTCTATTCATCATATACATACACTAGCCTCTATATAACCATATGCGCATATATATAGAATAAGCCGAAATCTGTTCCTCTAATCACGTTGATTCAACATTAATGAGTTTTTTTTTTCTGAGATCATTTCCTCATTTTTCCTTTCACGTTTATAAAAAATTAGAAAACAAAAACTTTGATCTATGTTTTGAGCGAAGAACAACATTCAATATTGAATACTCTTCCTGCAGACAAATGATATATCAGCACATAAATTATACGTTGTTTGACAATGATCGCCTTCTTAACATAGATTAACGATTGAGAGAAGCCTGAGTTTTTGCTTGAAACGAGACATAAAATAGCGTTGTCATGTCTTGAAATTATATATCATTTGTATTTGTAGGATAGCTGTTTGTGTGTTGATTGGAAAGAAACTCATGCAATGAAGATTAGTATACTCTTTTAACAAAAAACTCTCAGCAAATTGGAAAATGAAAAGAAAACTAAAGTGGATATATTTTACATCTTTCGGGGTAACTGATCAAGTAAATTATCGCCCACACACACACATTTCATTTGTGATAAAAGATTGCATAGATTCATGTTAGCTCAAAATAGTTCGATATGTTGAACGTCAGCAGCACTGTTATTACTACTATAGCGTCATGAACACCAAATCGTGGCAGGCTGATATCAATATATTTATAAGTTGTGAATACACAGAAGATCACGTGGAAAGAAACCAAATCAACAGAAGATCAGCAAAATATAAACAGCGACGAAGAAGAAATTGAGCGATAAAATTACTACGTGAGAGGGAAATAGAGTATGTTTGATCATGCTGAATAATCATTGACAGAATACTGAATTAAGTTATACGCACTTTGACAACTTCCAAAAGATGACGAAAATAGAAAAATCATTTTGTATCTTACGCTGTTCTCTATTAAATTTTATCGTCGAGACTTGAATCTTTTTCAGAAGATAGCCGATTTGATTCTCTATAAATGCGTATAAAAAGAAGTTTTAATGAAATACAAGCATGAAATCCTATATAGTGAATATCAATCTAGCGCCGAAGGAAATCGTTACATATTTTTATGCTTTCAATTGCATTCTTTTCATGGCACTCACCATTGTTCTTTGAATCAAGCTATGAATATAGGCATTATCATTAACAACTTGTTAGAGTTTATGAAGATCTCGATTTCACATTCCATCTATCGTATCGATATATTTCATTTTCGTATCATTTTTCTTCGTAATTTCAAATGGATCTGATTTATTTTATTTATTATCTACATCAAAGAAAGATTTTAGATTAAAACAGGGTGGGTGTGAGTGTGGTAGGGTGTGGATATGGATGTGGGTGTGGGTGTGGGTATAGAATAAAGGACAAACCACACTCACCCACACCCACACTCACACCCACCCACACCCACACCCCACACCAACACCCCACACCAACACCCCACACCCACCCACACTCACACCCACACCCCACACACCCAATCCAAATGTTGATCAATTTATATCTGTAACACTAGTCGTAGAATTATTAGTCATGGGAGGATTGTTTCCAACAGCTTTATTCAAACCAATTAATTTTCATTTTCATTTTCAAGGCTTCACATCACTCCTGCATATGATCTGTGCAATTCTTTATTTTATGTTCATAATATGTTTCACAATAATCGAAATTCACACATTAATCAAATCAAGAAAAACTTATTTTCGTTATCTATGGTCCTATATCGAACTGAGTATTATTGGATTATCATGAGTAACTATTAGTATTTATATATGGCGTGCTTTAGAAGCATATCGTATTGGAAATTTTTTTCGTGAAACAAATGGTTACAAATACATCAATCTTCATTTGGCTACCTATATTGATGATATTCTTATTTTTACACTTGGATGTTGCTGCTTTTTTAGTACTATCAAACTTCTTCGATTTTGTCATCCAAATTCTCGAATGTCATTAGTTACGAGAGCTCTTCATCATGCTGACAAAGATATTGTTTACTTTTTTTGATAAATGTTTATCTTGTCTTTTTTGCTTTCGTTATTTTATTTTATTTACTCTTCGTGTCTCATATAGAATCGTGTTCAACAATCTTAAAAAAAAATAATAATGCTTTTTGAAATGCTACTAGGTGAATTTAATTCTTCTGAACTACTTAATTCTCATTGTATGCTTGGTCCATCTACTTTTGCTATCTTTATGAATTTTTTTTCATTTCATTTATATTACAATGTTTATTTCTAATATCCGTTATCATTTCCGTATTGCTCGTCAACAACTGGATCTTACCTACAGTGAAGATCAAGATATTGTTTGGTTTGCTCTTTTTAAATTTAACCGATGGATAGATAATCGAGATATAAAAAATATTCTACAAGATAAATGTCATATATTCTAGGTTTGACAAAACCAACTAAAAGTGAACTTCAAGAAGCTCATGATGCACCAATGCGTTCATTATATCAAAGTTCAATTCAACTATTTCCTAAAAGGGTTGATCAACTTTTATTTGCTTTTAACAAGGTATGTTCTTTCTTCTCTATTGATCATATCATTTATTTGATCTTGTCTTAGATCTATATAACATCTCGGAGGTCATCATTAACACCAGATCCATTTAAACGACGATTATCATAAAAATAAAGAAGCATACGATCATTTAATGAACAATTTTGAAAGAGAGACTTTTGTGTCACGTAGATGTATCAATAAATGTCTGAGATAATATTTAAACAAAAAGATAACTCTACAAATAAGAAACTAAGAAAGCATATTTGTAATTCATGTCTACGTTAATAAATGTACCTTCTACAGCTTATTTACGCTATTTTTGCTAGCTTTGTACAGTTAGCTGTATTTATCAAAAACATCGGACGATTTTTATTTTGATATAGTCGAACAGGACATCAGTTATTAGAGGTGTAAGCCGATGAGCTGTCCGGCGGCGGCGCCATTAAAAAAATTTTTTTTTCAAAAACTCGGCGGCGCAGATTTGAATTACTGGGGCTGCACGGCGGCGGCGGCTCGAAAGTCATTTTTTTCCTACCGCCGACGGCGGCGGCGGCTTAAAGTCCTTCGTCGTTCGGCGGCGGCGGCTGGAGGTTTAGAAAAACTACTATAGCAGTCTATGGGAAAGTTTTTGGGCAACATATTTGCTCATTTTTTGACTCTTCTAAAAGTATTTTAGTCGAGTGAACAACTAGTGCTAAGGACCAGAATTTTGTGCTCTTTCCAAATATGGGCTGAATTGATGTACCTATTCTCGCTCGAGAGCAGTGAGGATACCTTTCAAAGGTCTAAAAAAAACCGTTTGGACGGAAAATTTCTTCGCACATCTTCATATGCTTGCTATTGATATTCAAAACTAACATGCTGAATCTTTTGTTCACATGTCAGCTTGAACAAAGTTTGTTCTACAAAATATGACATTTGAGTTAATTTTTTTCTGACAAAATACTTACATTGTTGTTCAGTTGCATTTTCGAAAAATCAATTTTTTCATCAGAATTCGATTCTGACAGATGTAGTTCTTGCAAAAACAGTCATATTTTTATATGCGTAAAGGGTACATTTTAGTTCTCCATAACATTTTATAAAGAATTATTCGTCCTACAACATTTGCAAGTTGAACCATTTTTAGCGCTTTTCTCAAGAAACATACGAAGGTCACAAAAGCTTTTTTATTTGCCACTGACATTACTTTTTCAGAACATTCAAAGACCTCCTCACTACTCTATGACAAGAACAGATACACAATCCCTCAGACTATATTCGGATAGAGCACGGAATTCTAGTCCTAATCTAAAGTATTTCATTCACCTAGAACACTTAAGCCAATAAAATATGAACAAAATATTGTCGAGAAACTTTTGAATAATTGATGTGTTCAAACTGTGTTTTTAGACCTTTCAGAGATATCCTTACTTATTCTGGAGCAACAATAGGTACATAATTTATGAGCCTATATCTGGAAAGACCACATCATTCTGGTCCTAATCACTCTTTTTTCCCTCGGCTAGAATACTTTTATAAGAGAAAAAAATGAACAAATATTTTGTCCAAAAACGTTTTCGTAGACCGTTAAATGATTTTTCACATTTTCTGTACCACTTATATTGCTATAAATACCAATAAGATTTTTAATTGAAAAAAGTAATATCAGCTTGATCGTTTTTCAATTTGTGAAACCAAATTTTGCAATAAACATGTTAATTATCGGCTAACTAATTCGGTTTTTTTGTGCAAATAACCGAAATGATTCCAGACGAACGATGGTTTTGGTAGATTAGGTAGGTTCATATCGATAAAAAAGTTTTTGTTTACACAATATATATTTGTCATTTCAACTGCAAGATGAACCTAAAAATGAACAAAACAAACAGAATTATTTATTTATCAATAAACAGCACCTACAAATTTCTGAAAATTGAAAAAGCAACACCAAAAATAATGATAAATAAAAATTACCAAAATCATCAATACATAGTAAAACCATCAAACTTTGAGTAGGAAATATAACTTGAACTGCTACTGAATAAAACGGAATCACTAGGATTATTAATAAGTGAAAAAAATAATACAACCACTGAGAATACAAATAAATGAAAAATAAATATAACCACCAGGATAAATAGTAGATGAAAAACCGTCACCGAGTTTGTTAATAAGTAGAACGACGTAGCACACACAAGTCTGTTGCTTGATTTTGTTTTTGTTAATCGAAACTTATAATACTGGTTTTTACTTATATATAATGTTATAGACATTAACAAGTGAAATGATTACTTGAAACTTTTAACCCATACAAAATTAAGGAAAAAATGATTAAAAGTTGTCGATGTTTATGAACGGTGTCGGCGGCGGCGGCTCAAAAATTTGAAAATTCTGAATGCCCTCGGCGGCGCGGCGGCTGGAACTAAAGTGTCTCAGCGGCGGCGGCTTATAAATTTTTAAAATTTCGACTGTCACGGCGGCGGCGGCTTAAAATTTTTCCCGTTAATCGGCGGCGGCGGCGGCTCAGCCGCACGGCTTACACCTCTATCAGTTATTCTATTGAGTTATATAATTTTCATTTTGTTTTGCATCTTGTCCAAAATCTCCTCCAATAGAGACACCAACGTCCTATTCAGCTACATGTTAAAGAAAAGAAGAATAGATGATTAAAAAAAAAATTTTCTAAACAATGTTCGAAAGCCACATTTGAAAAAAAAACTATTAGCGCAATCCTCTGCGGTATTAAAAATATGAAACACGATATCCGCGAGAATTATTAAGTCTGTCGCTATGCATTCTCATTTCGTCGAAATTTTATGCGAATAAGAAAAAAAACAAGGAAGGGGTGGTACTTCTTTTTTTGTTAACCGTCGAAAATTGCCATGATTTCGAAAAAAAATGATGCATACTTTAGTTGTCATTGAGTTACTACTCTGCGTCATTCGTCAAAGTTGATCGGTAGTACATGTTATGACATAATGTAGAAACGTGAGAAGAACAGAACGATAAGATAGGCAAGCACAGATATTTTTGTATTCTGTTGACAAAATCTTACAAAATTACATTGTGAGTCATTTAAAAAACAATAAGAAAAAAAAACCAAGAATCAGAGAATTTAAATCTCGTTGGAATAACATATTTCATTACATAATTTTTTGTTCGACTTCACAAATGCATTCTGAACATACAACTGATCTATCAATTCTTTACTCAAATTTAAAATCTCATCCAACCAATCAAGAATATGTTGTATTAATCAAAACGGGTTCTCTGAATCCTGTTCATCGTTGTCATATATCAAATATGGTACGAACTAAAGAATACTTAGAACAAGTACATAATTTTAATGTTATTGGTGGATATATATCACCGACACATGATGAATATGTACATGGTAAATTAAGAAATGAACTTATTAGTGGTCAACATCGTATTGAAATGTGTCGAAAAGCTATTGAAGAAGCTGGTCAACAACATTGGTTGAGTGTTGATATGGCTGAATGTATGGGTCAGTAAATTGATTTTGTTTTATATTATCATTGAATCAAAAAAATAACATACGTATTTCAATATTTCATATAAAATAAGAACTATTTTCATTCAACAAAGATAGTGATCATCTATCTAAATTTGTGGAATATCCATTTCGACAAAATATATGCGTATAATTAACATATAATGTATCAGTCAAAATTTATTTTATTTCATTGACATATTTTTAGCTTAACAAGAGCCCATTGTTACATTAGATTTCATAAGAACATAATGATAAAAATAGTTCATCATAAGTATGCGACTAGTATTTTGTTTTTATGTCTGATCAATTTTATACAGACATTCGCAAAATCTCAAATTCTATGAAATAATCTTTATATATCTCCATTTCGCAGAGCGTACAGTAGTTACATAAATTTTCGATAGATATATAAAATAAATTTTATCGTATATCTGAACATATTAATAAACACCTGATTTTCTTATTGAATACATCCACAGATCATACAACTAATACTTTTAAAAAAAATTCACTTAAATTATATTTCAAACAATTCAGATCGATGGAATATAAGTGTTCTCTGTAGGAAAATATTCAACTCAAAAATCGAATGTGTTAAAAATTTTGAATATATATTTTCTCATTAGAACATTCTTTTACTAGCTCCTGGATTCATCAATCTTAAACGTGTGACATACAGCCTTCAAACGTTTATCAATGGAAAATTAAATTTATCAAAACCTGTTCGGGTTATTTATGTTGCTGGTCTTGATTTATTTAATCGTTGTAATGGCATGAATGGAATGAGAAAACCTCCGATGGATAGTGTTGCTGTAGTTTATCGTCCAAGTCAAGATGATAGTTTTGTAAGATCAACACATGTACAAGTTGATTCCAATGTATTTTACGTTTGTGCTAATGATGATGATTTGGATGCATCAAGTTCAGATATGGATGATATTAGTTCAACATTAATTCGAGAACGATATAAAAATAATCAAGATTGTGAACATTTAACATACAAATCAGTTTTGGATCATATGAAAATTATATCGCCGAAGAAAAATTAAATATCTCCATGTTTTTTTGTATGATTTGGGCTTTGAAATTCGTATTTAAATATAATTCGTTCAGGCCTTGTTATTATAATTTATCAAGCCGTTTGAAATTTATTTCTGGATATCAAAATTTGTTAGAAATTTGTCTATTGTTTGAGATATTCTCACCGCTGTTTTATATTTATTAAAAATAATAAATTTTGAAAGAAATTTTATGGTTCTTTTGTTTGAGAAAATATCATCAATAGATTCTAGATTTTGGGACCAGTGTTTTTCAAGAAGACAGAAAAACTAAAAGAGATTATCTTCAGATAAGATGTGTTTTTTTTAAATGCTCATTTTGAATAGATTTGCTTCCTATGAAAATGTTTTACCAAGAACCCACGGTCAAATTTATAATATCTCGTTTTAATTTCTTCGACAATATCTTACATTTAGCTAAAAATCTACTAAAGCGACAACAGTTTGAGAACGAGAAACTTTAAAATAAATTCCTAGGGTTATTTTCCAAAATAGAAATGTGATTTTCTTGTTCGCCGCTTTCCAATTTACTTTGCCCTTCGTACTGCAGTCATCTTACAGAGAAAACT